TTAAGCTCTATGAATTTAGAAATGCTGTCACATTGAAAACAGCCTGCAAAAAAAATGGGCAACAGTGGGGATCTGTAAGACTTAAAGTGAGGTAAAATGGTGTATCTAACATTAGTTAGTAATATATTGTATGAAAATAAGTAAATAATACATCGTATTAAAATATCCTAACCATAATCCGGATTTGTTGTGACATTAATAACATTGTACCTCACCAACTTAATCCAGTTCATACCGTAACGGTTGTAGTCAAGCTGTTGGCTAAAATCAACACGGTCTGAATCACTACTGTGCTAGTCGTCTCAGCTGGCCTGAAGAGCCCTGGTATTAAACGAAAGGCCTCGTATAGCAGATATAGTGGTTATGGTTGACATATTATTTCTTCTTTACTTTCTCTCAGAAATTCTCAAAGGCATTTGTCATGACAGTCTATTCAACCGTCTTCAAGCGGGCAAATATAAATATTTTAACAAATGTCTTATAACAATCGAAAACCAGTTCGAAAGTTGCCCATCTTAAAATGCAATAAAAATATCTTTAAAGTCACTGAATACCCCAATTTTTGACAACGAATAACTAGAAATGGGGTCTGATGAGCGATCTTAGATCATTTTCGGTATTTCTAGTTGAAGAAAAGACATTTTGTACTACTTGTATTGTTCAACAGAGCAAATTGTTCGATGTTCTGTAATAGAATGGAAAAGACGTTTGTATCATGAAAGGACATTCTTCGATTACTTTATGAGAAAGAATAACATCCAGAGTGTACCTGAGCGTGGTTACTCACCAAACCCACTCAGTAATGCTGCATTTCACCACTGATGGATAAACGACTCTTTCAAGATGATCATATTGAAACAACTTTCAACATTCTTGTTGGCCAAAACTATATCCAAGAGCATGACTGTGACTTTATATTGTTTAACCAATAGAATAAACACAATTGAGCAATTTTCGAATTATATTTAACGTTACATCTGCCACCATTTTCCTCTTTTAACTGCTGGAACCAATTTCTTTTCATGGTCTTGGACGAATCGGCTACAATAAAAGAAAACACGTTCAAACATCTTGGAGGTGAAGCTGTTGTTTCTGAGAAAGGTGTGGGATTCAGTGCGATACCATGTGGTGGTGGTTCTTATGGAGTGATCAGTAAGTACATATTAGTCACTTAAGAGTAATGGATTATACAATAGGTAAGATGGGCAGGGCAGACGGGAGGGGGCAAGGGGGCAGCTGCCCTGGGACCCGGTAGTGGGATATTCCAAAGTTCACTAGAAATACATACTATTTAATTAACTAAAATGGCTACTGCTTTTTCATGGATTCATAAAGCAATTTGTCTCCTAAGTTTCTTTTATGAAAAAAAATCAGCAAAAGTTAATAAATAGAATGAAAGGGGGGCCTGATATTATTCCTGACTCCCGGGCCTGGGCTGGCTCTCAACGACCCTGATGATAGGTAACCTCCCACAACAGCTATGATAAAAGCTGTGACAAATTATTGTTAAATTAAAGATTGCTATAAATTGCTATTTATATGTATGTATGTAAGTTATATCATGTGCCAAGTGGACAAATAACAGAATGTGACAGTTATATTCCAAATCTTAACAGGGAACTTACTTTCAGGTATAGTTTTATCTTTACCAGCCAAGTTCGATTTTCCTGTGTCTCCTCTGGTTTGCATAAAAGTTGTAAAGTGACCATTAGTCTTTAGTCTTGGTCGAGCAGACGCTGGTGGTTGGCTAACCATTTCTTCGTAAGGGTGTGATTCAATGTTTGAGCCCAAATATCCTGGGTAAGAGGAATAAGAAAGCATTATACATACTGTTATATACATATACTTGATTAATTTTGTGTCTGTATAACTACTGCACTGGTCCAAATGTTCGTTCAAGAAATGGCGATAGCCTGAGAATATGTTCAAATATATACATAGCTTACACCATTATTTTCATATCAAATTTTTTACATATCATGTTGTAAATTAAGCTTGTTAAGGTCATTCAGAAAATATTGCGGAAATAATTCTTTAATAAATAATAAAGCTCGATGTTAATTTTTGATAGCAATTACGAACTTTATTATAATGGATTATGCTAATTCAAAATAATGAATGTACATGTGCATAAAAATACAATAATTTCCTAAAAATGCAGTATAAACTCACGGTTTGTGCATAGTTTAGTGATTGAAATGGCTTATAAAAACGGGGTGTAAAAAAAAAAGAGATTAAAGTTGAACGTTAACCGTTGAATAAATAACAGTATTGTTTTTAGGGTTGCATAAGTATTGAAGTGTTTGTATATTTATGTCATTCACGATAAGGAAATGCGAAATGTATTATCAACGACACTTTAACACAATAGTCCAGTGAGAAAATCTACTACATTATCCAATATGTTAACAAAGTTTAATGTGGTTAACATTCGTGCCACGTACTGCTTTCATTCGTGAAAGAACGTGATACGCAGCTGGACGATACTGTCCGATTTCCAACAGTTGCACTTTACTTAGTGTTCTTTGATATCTTTCAACTCTATCAAGTTATCGGGCACGTCACAGTAAATCAAAGACTTGAGGTGGCTCCACAGCTAAACTTTAACAAAGGATGAGATTTGGAGACGGTGCTGGTCACGCGTGTGGAAAACGTCTGATGGTTACACAATTCAGCATGTCCCAGCAACTTGGGATGGAGCCCCATTTTGCAAGAAGACGATTTCATTCAAAACCTCTCTGAAATGTAGGAATGACAACACGTTCCAAATCACATCAACGACTGATCCTCTTTTTTCAAATTTGTTTTTAAGCTTCCCATAAGCCTCGCTCTTACTTGGTGTTCGCCCCTTTCACGTTAATATGTTTGTTTGAAGTTAAGAACAAAGCTACACAATTGGCTATATGTGCTCTGCCCACCACGGTATCGAAATCCGGTATCAAGCGTTGTAAGTCCGACGTTGATATGACTTCAGTGTTACCCCAGCATTATTACTATACTAGTAGTAACGATTTAATAATTCTAATCTCAGAGATAAAATGCCAGGAGTAATTTCTATTGACCGAATACGTTATGACGTTTCTATACTGTTTTTTATATAGTCCCCAATATGTAACTTACTCTATATCGCCTCCTGTTAATATTTCTTATTGACATTAAATTCTGATAAATAGTTTTCAAGACATTGACGGTAGAATAGGTCTTACACTTATCATGTATGTGACCCAGAGTACATCAACCATTCAGTAGGCAACTCTTTACACTTATCATGTATGTGACCCAGAGTACATCAACATTCAGTAGGCAACTCTTTACACTTATCATGTATGTGACCCAGAGTACTTCAACAATCAGTAGGCAGCTCTTTACACTTACCCTGTATGTGACCCAGAGTACATCAACATTCAGTAGGCAACTCTTTACACTTACCCTGTATGTGACCCAGAGTACATCAACATTCAGTAGGCAACTCTTTACACTTACCCTGTATGTGACCTAGAGTACTTCATCAATTACTAATCAACTTTTTACACTTACATGTAATCTAGAGTAATTCAACAATCAGTAGGCAACTCTTTACACTTACCCTGTATGTGACCTAGAGTACTTCAT